AAAGAAAGAAAGAAAGAAAGAAAGAAAGAAAGAAAGAAAGAAAGAAATCATCATTAAGTGTTGTACCTGATGATTCTTGACTCTTGACGAATGTCTCTTTTCTTTTATGTACACTGAGAGTATTTACACCAAAACAAATTCCTTGTGTATCCAATCACACTTGGCCAATAAAAGAATTCTATTCTATTCTTTAAAAAAGGAAAAGTTGGGAGAGAGTGTGAGAAAGAAAAAAAGAAAAATGAGGGAGAAGGAGGGAGGGAGAAAGAAAAGGGAAAGGAAAGGAAGAGGAAGAAGAAGAAAAAATAGAGGGGAAAGGAAGGAATAAAGGAGAAAGGAAGGAGGGAAAAAGGGAAGAGAAGAAAGGATTAAAAACCAACCTCGCGAATTCCCACCTATGCAGCCGGATGGCCCCTTCTCTACCTTTTCATCAGTCTGTGGCTCCTTCTCGCCCCACCCAATCAGCGGCCGCCTCCGGAAGTTGCCGGCCCGGGATTGGCTGGCTGAAACATGGCGGAGCGCAGCGGGGCGAAGCGGCTACGGGAGGTGCACGTGGGGCTGTTGCAATGGTCCCGGGCCATCGGGGGTGGGTGGGTGGGTGGGTGCCTGGGCTGGTAGGCTGCTCCTGGGCATGGAGGTTCCTTCCATGAGCTGGTGCTGGGCCAAGAGATTAACGCCGGTGTTTGAATCCTGTTTGCTGAGAATTTGCAAAAATGGATTTTTGATTGATTGATTGATTGATTGCAAAAATTGATTGCAAAAAAATGTGATGCAAAAATGGATTTTTGATTGATTGATTGCAAAAAAAAATTGATGCAAACATGGATATTTGATTGATTGATTTGATTTGATTTGCAAAACTTTACCAGCCCCGATGGGGAGGCTGGTTATCCTCTGCCCGCTGGGGATGGAGGATGACAAGGCTTTTGGCGCGGATTGCATCCCGGAGGTTTAACTGTCCGCCGCCGCATCCGTTGTTGGCCGTGGACGATGGACCTTGTAGTTGGCCCAGTTGAAGGGCAGGGAGGCGGCGAGCTGATTGTGCCACTGTGAGACAGGGAGATGGCAGGGAGATTAAGAAGAGGCAGCCCTGTCGTGGTGGGGTTACAGAAGCAGTTGGGCAGCAGAATACAGGGAACAATTTGGATACTTGGGTTTTGCTAGTAAACCAGCGTTTGTCTTCCAAACTTGACAAAATCTCTGCACTGTTTTTTAGGGAAAAGAAGAAAAGATGGATTGGCGCAAATGGAAACAAGAAAGTAAGAACAGATTCTTAAAATATATTTTTTACAAAGGGCTCAAAGATTCTATAATATTTATGCCATAAAACTAGAAGGCTAAAATCTTTAGAGCCAGAAACTTTGAATAAGTGATTTTTCCCCTTTTAAAATCTATAATAAAAAGGTGGGGAATTTGCCAGATCTGATTCCAATTCTGTTATCCAAGTCTATACCTGGTTTAGACCCATAGTTAGCTTTACTATGGCTTACTGAATAAAGTACCATTGGCTGGAACCAGACAAATTTCAGCCCAAGCTAACCCAATCAAAACTAGTACCACATTATTTTATCTTAATTTAATTTGAAAGGAGATTGGTATTTGAATTGATGGCTAGGCCAGCCCATTGCACTAAGCCATGGTTTATCTAGCTATGAATAAACTATTATTGGCTGGGATGGCACAAGAACCCTTGCTCTAAACCAGGGTGCTTGAACCACAGTATGCAAGTTTGTTTAACATAATGGAGAATAATGTGATGTTGATCGCTTTTGAGAGCTTGTTTCTTCTCTGTCTGAATTTTGTTTTAGAAAAAGAAGAGAAGAAAAAATGGAAAGAGATAAAACTGTTGAAGAAGCTGGAGAAAGAGAGAGCGCGAGAGCAGATGGAGAAAGAGAGAGAAGAAACAAAACCAACGGAGGAAAAAGGTAGCTGCCAAAATGCAGGAAATCTATTTTGGATATCGGACTAGAATTGGGGAACGAGAAAGGTTGGGTTCAGACAGACAACTTGGGCTAAGAGTGGTTGAGTGTATTTTCATTGCATGGTGGATTGAGGGTTAATCCTAGTTAGGATTCTTTTTCTTTTGGGTGGCTTATCCTTTTCTTGCCAGTTTATGGATCAGCAGCCCAAAAGCCAGAAACTGAATTAATACAGTAATATTAGATTAGATCAGAAGTCTGTGGCTGAGGAATTCTGGGAGTTGAAGTCCACATATCTTAAAGTTGCCAAGTTTGAGGACCCTTGGATTAGATCAAAATAATCTGTTTGGAGCAGTGACGAAGGCGTTGGCTCAGGAGACGATGAGTTCTAGTCCCACCTTAGGCATGAAAGCTGACTGGGTGACTTGATGCCAATCGGCAGGAGATGGTGAGTTCTAGTCCTGCCTTAGCCAAGAAAGCTAACTGGGTGACTTTGGTGCAATCACCAGGAGTCGGGTGAGTTCTAATCCCAGTTTGGGATGAAAGCCAACTGGGTGATTTGGGGGTCAGGGCCTCTTCTCAGCCCAACTCACCTCAGAGGGTTGTTGTTGTGGGGAAAGCTGGAGAAGAAAAGAGCATTAAGTAAGTTCAAAAGAAAGAGAAGGAGGGAGGGAAGGAAGAAGAGAGAGAGATGGAGGGAAGGAATGCTTTTTTTTGGGGGGGTGAGTTTTCCTAATTTCTCTCCCTCTTTCCTAGGGCGGCACTACACAGTCAGTGTGGCTGTTCCCGGTTCGATTCTAAGTAACGCCCAGTCTCCTGAATTGCGGACGTATCTGGCCGGACAGATAGCCCGCGCCTGCGTCATCTTCTGTGTGGACGAAATTGTGGTGTTTGAAGAACAAGGAGAAACTACCAAGTAAGGGGGCGGCCTCCATTCCATTCCGTTTCTGTCCTGTTTTGTGCCACCGGTCGGAGTGGCACCGAGTCAGGCTCTGCGTTGTTACGATGGGTTTTTTTTCCCACCCGGGCAAATTTTGAGCCGAGAAATGGCATTTTTACAAAAGGGGTTGCCAGTTCGAGGCACTTGGTGACTTTTAGTGCTTGCCTTCCAGGACCATCGAAGGCAAGTTTGAAGGCATCAGGGGCAAAGGCCAGGCCTGTGTCCAGCTGGCCCGGATCCTTCAGTACCTGGAGTGCCCACAGTAAGTTGCCCTTGCCAAGATTGTCCAGTTCAAAGCGGGCCAAAACAAGGTGCAATCGTGACCTTGGGGCCTTTTAGCTTGCTTGGTTACCTACCTACCTACCTACCTACCTACCTACCCATCCATCCATCATCTATATCTATCTCTTTCTACCTTTCTCTATAATCATCTCTGTAGTCTGTCTATCTAGCATCTATCTACTTATCTATCTATCTATGCATCTATCTATCGTCTCTCTATCAAATCTGTCTATCAATCAATCATCTGTCTATCATCTATATTATATCTGTCATCTCTATCATCTATCGATCACCTATCTATATCTATCTATCTATCTATCTATCTATCTATCTATCTATCTATCTAT